AGTAAATGACGTTCAGGTAAGCGATGGCGAGAAAGGATGCGAAAGAGCGGCACTTTTGTTTAAATGTGTCGTTGAAAATGCTCCCAAGGTACCTAATAATATTAAAATATTTACGACTTAATAATATTAATATATTATATATGTACAATTTAATATGTTATATCAATAAATTAAATTGAATGATTAATACGTACAATTTAAGAAAATCTGTAAAATATTGAAGTAGTAGATGTAGCTGCTTAAGCGATAAAACATTTAATTAAGTAGAAATGTTCAGGAGAAAGGTAGGAGCGTGAGCCATATTGATTCCATGAGCTACAACAGACCTAAAAACCTTCTCTGAAATGAAAGAAGACTCGTGCCCAGCACGGGACGTATATTATTTTTTTTTTATTTCTGGCTTCTTTGCCTTATTTTTAAAATAAATATGACAGACGAGCTTACACTCCTTCTGATGGTAAGTGGATTAGGATCCCATAGAGATCTACATAATATATTCTCGATTTCGAATCAAAATGCAGATGCATTGTCACCATTGAGGACTAAGATGGAATTCCGTTTCCAGTAAAAAGGGTTTCCGGTTCTCTACACTCACCATACGATAAGTCAGCATTAAGCCGCTATTTCATGCTAGTTCTCTGTGAGAGCGTGGTAAAAAAATAGCTTAGACCCAATATGTGGTGTAACGGTCGAACTGTTTTTTTTAATTTACACTGTAAAAAGCCCGGAGTGAATTTGGGGTAAAACTTGCCAGAAAAGGCAAAACAAGTACTGCCGAATCTATAATTATATTTTTTTTCTTTCCATAAGAATTAAGATTATAAGACCAGATGGCTAGAGTGGTAAGAGTACTTGGCTTGTATGTCACGGTTCTGATTTCGAATCTCAGGAATCAAATAACTAGACAATTCATAGGTTTCGGGTGTGGTTAATTATTCCGTTGTCTCTGACGCTGCATTCTAATTGCTTTCACCTTAATCATCATATTTTAAGCGGTACTATAAGAGCGTAGACAGGTAGGCCAATTACCTAGCATCGAGAGCCTAGGTAGACCTAGTGGCACTATAATATCTTCTGCGCGATAGCTTTCAATAATTAGTAGAACAGTAGAAAATCGGCCAGGAAAACTATCAATTAAGATATTTAATACTCATTCAAACAATTTTCCAAATACATGTTTTTATCAGCCAAAGTAATAATTGAAATATTTTTTATTTCAGTTGGGCTTCGAAGTGTAACAAGTGAAGTATGAAAATTAATGCTCCATCCTTCAAAGCACAATATATTGATTTTTTTTAATAACTTATGATGTTTATATTCTATTACCCAAAGTCCCAGTCTACATTTTACATAGATTTTTTTTTAATTTAACGTTTTCTTAATAAAAACTAGTTAGTTCTTAGTAAATTCTTAGTGGTTAAAATATATACTAAAATGAGCCATCCTATGTAAATATAACTAAAAATAACATAACAATATTTATAAATATCTTCATCGGCATCGCAAAATGATGGTTCAAGAATGTGATTATACCAGGCGCGAAAAGATTTGCTGCTTGAACCTATTTGATCATTTATAAATGGCAGAGACTATTTTAGGCACATTTTCTTCGAAGAAATAAGTAAAATTTGGAAGATAAGTGATTAGAATTGTAATTTGATTTCATTACATTTCCTTGCATTAACGAAACGATACAATTAAAACTATTTCACATAGACAAACAAACGATTTGCTTCGACTTTCATTATGCGTACGGCAAGGAAGTGAAATAATTTGTCGGCGTCTGTCTTTCCGTAAATTGGATGTGTTCAAGACAAGAGTAAATCGGCTTTTGTTATGCTAAGACAGTGCGATTTACCATCCAGTGCTTCAGGTGCTTCGCCAGGTGGGATTGGGAATGGAGTTGATCAAGCACTCGCTCATAATAAATAAAAAGAAACCTGGATGGTTGAAGTTCGTTATAATTGTAATATTGCTTTAACAGTGATATTGTTATTGATGTGCATTGGTTACTCAAATACAGATTTAAATGTGATTTAAATTCGAATTATTGACTATACGTTAGAGCCTAAAAATATATTATACATCATTGTGTGGGATGTGTATTAAAATTTCTTTGAAATATTACCTATTACATTTTATATTTAATATTATTCCATAAAATGATAATAATTATAACACCCCACAGTATCTTCAAACCAATGGCTGGCATAAATTTAAAGATTATTATCAAAATTGCTTTACTCTTTGTCTATTTTCAGACATATTTTGCATTGCTGCCAAATCATGAAACATTTAAAAATATTAGATTTATGAAGTTCTGTAACCGGCGCGATCAATTGCATTTAATATTTTAAGACATTGGTAGGAGGGTTTATGGTACGGACTATATGCTAGGGAATATTTTTTTATAGAAAAATAGGCATTTTTTTAAATCGTAGCACTATAAATTATCATCATCATTACAGCCCTTCACAAATCCACTGCTTAACATAGGCCTCCCTCAAGGGATGCCACAAAGCACGGTCCTGAGCCACGTGCATCCATCGAGTTCCTCCATGTCGTACCAGGTCTTCGCTCCTTCTAGTATAATTTTAAGCAGAAAAATTCTGGTTATTCGATCGATAACTGCATGAAATGTTTAAAACTTGGTCAATATTAAATAAAATATATAAAACATCAGGCAGTTTCATTAGTGCGACCTCTCACATTTTTGTCTATTTAGGATTATATAGCAAATAGGTAGGCTTCTAGTTCAGAAATTCAGGTTTTAAGGCAGTTTTTGCCATTAGATTTTTTTAAATCTAATGGATCAGACAAATGGAAAGGAGAATGGGATTTTTGGGCCTGAAGTTAACTAATTGGTTTATACTTTAAAAATTGTCCATATTTTTCTTAAGTAAAATACAAAAAAGCAGCTCTTTTTACAATCTAGATTTTGAAAAAACAATAAAGTATGAAATAAGTTACAAAATCGATTGTAGTGTATTATTTATGGCAATAAATCGATTACCATAAGGAATACACTAGTGAAATTCTCGTTTATGAACGTTATCTTCCAATAGAGGACTTCTCATTTTCAAACTTGAGTTGACAGTTCAAACTATTTACTTAAAAGAAAAAGACAGAATTTCGATTCGATTTGAAACGATCGCAATATAATCGATTCTCCATTAAATTGAGTAGTATAATATCTATTTTCGATTATTTTTCTACATTAACTTGGGAGATAAAAAATTGCGTACATATCTACAAAATAATAATAAAAAATACAAAATATCAAAATTCCAACAAGTAACACTTACAACAAAATTCAAGTAATCGATCTCAGATCGATATCCCTAATATTCACTTCACTTAGCTGTTGTTATTTTAACTTTCGTTAATCGTTTCACCATTTCGTTTCATTATTAACCACAGCTTTTTGATGATTTTATACTAATCCTGCTTTTATATCTTTAAGTAATTATAGTGAAAAATAGCCTGTTACAGAGTAGGTAATAGATAATCTCACTTTTACTTATCCTACAATAACTAAGCTCTTAGATTGACAAATCTTGCCAGATTTTCAACTATGAATTGTTTATATATACGCTTTCAAATAGTCCTACTTTCATCTTGTTAATAATTGGGCCCAAGAATGTATGGAGACGTCTCATTCTCCTTTCACCTTCAACTGAAGAGGATTTTGTCCAGCCGGTTGCTTTTAGATATTTAAATACAGAGTATGTACCTATTATTTATTATATTATTTAACCCATTCTTCGTTTTAACAGTATAAAAAAACATTGCAGAACTCTGTAAAAATTAAAATAATTTTAAGTTTAGTGACATCTATCGTTCAATGTTTGCATTAATTATACATACTGTACTTAGTTTTATGCACCTCAAGTTACGAAACATTCGGAACTTATTAGTTACATAAAGATAGAACAGATGTCGGGGTTTTCGAAAGTGTTAAAAATAATTCTTTGAGCAGTAGTTGACAATTACTGACATATTCATTGATTCATTCATAAAAATAATAACGTGAGCCGTGACAGTAGATCGCTAATCAGATTTCTTAAATATACAGATAATTAGATTTAAAATAAAAAATCTAACTTTTCAAACGTCGTAAAAATTTTGAGGGTTAATGTAATGTAATGATTTAAGTAGAATCTTTTACAGAATAAATAAAATTACGATTGTAAAATAAAATAAGTTATTTAATTTTTAATAGTCATCTGTATGTGTTAAAACATTCAATGAATAGTGGCACTAATATTGACAATTCGTCTGGAAGACTGTGAAGCTGAGCGTACATATGCATAACAAAAAGATTACAGACATGTTCACTCACACACATTGAAGAGTATCTGAGCAAGTTTTTAAACACCCCTGCTCCGGCGCAAGAGTTTACACACACATGGATAGGTCAATAGGTACCTAACCAACTTCATTCAAAGCCGCCTTGGCCGACCGAGCGGCAAGCGATGTATCTTTATAACTTCACTCCTTTTGTAAAATATAACCGAATGATCGGCAAACGTCCTCGTTGATGACGTTTACGAACAAAACAATTGACGGTTAACATTTTGTTTTGTCAATAGCACCGTGCTGTTGATTGTTGGTGGTATTGTAATAAACATGTGTTTGTGTGAGTTTAATTTGTTGTGTTGTTAGGGAGTGCAGATGTTGATGTGAAGTTAGTTAGTGAAATTTTGGTTATCATTTATTAGTGAATTACGTTAGCACTTTAAGTGATTACTATCGGTGCCCTATAAACATTTAATTTAAGTAAGTACCTATCAACTGTATAATAGTATATGTAAAGAATTATCTAGCTTGGTCAGGCATCGTTAATGTTTAATTTAAAGCAAAAATGTAAATATATGGAAAAATAGCAAGAACAATTAAAGAAGACTAAGTATTATTCAACTACTTTATTTTGCAGTTATTTATTTACACTTTTCACAATAAAAAGTTTTTCCACTATCAATATCGATAGCATTTTTTTATTACGATGGTTTTATTTTTAGTGGTATTGGAATAAAGTTATCTTCTCTTGTTAATTTTGATCTTCTATTATGAATTTCTAAACTGTTATCGGTCCGAGACAATTCTGTAGGAGCAACGTTTTCTGGCGCGTGTTTTCTATTTTCCATTGAAATTCTTTCGATTATAGGAAAGTTACTTAAAGACAGTCCTAAATTATCTTTCTTCTGTTCTGTATTAATTTTATTAGTAATAACTAGGTTTTGTGGCCATTTTTTGAGGTTTAAATTTAAATCAGGTCCTGTTACTTCTTCAGTGTCACGTCGTTTTCGTTTACCGGAGACTACACCAAGTTGAAGTAAGACTGGGTTCGTGATAAAGGCAGCTGCTGCTCCAAGAATAGCGATTCCAGCTAATGGCCATAGTATTTTTTTAACGGCCTGAGTCTGAAATAATATTAATATTTTATATTTTCATCGTAAAATCTATGATATTTTAGTGACTAAAATCATGTCGATGTTTTTATTTATACTTGTGAAATCTAATGTTAAATTAATCCAATGTTTTTTTTAGATTTATTAAGTTCACTTTTTTTAAAGGATAAATAAGGGTGACAAGCGAGCACACCGTCCACCTGATGGTAAGTGGTTGCTGTGGCCTATAGACAGATACATCTATCTTCGTTTGCGAATCAAAATGCAGATACCTACGTGGTCAGTCGTGCGGACGAAGATGGAATGCCTCTTTTGCAGTAAAAAGTGTCTACGGTTTTCTACACTCACCATACGAAACACAGCAGCATTAAGCTGTTATTTTACGTTTTTTAATACCAATTCTGTGAGAGCGTGGTCCTTCCTCGGTCGAGCCGACACATTTGTGCTAGAACTATACAATTATTACAGTTGCAGCGTGGTTCTACCACGTTTAATATAGCTGCAGTATGGCTCATATTTAAAACTGCTGGACATGGTTTTTTCTCGGTGTAGGGAGTATTTGCCGTAACGTGGAGAACATTCGGCAGGCGGGTTGATGATTACAGTACCAGAGGTATCGCACCTTTGGTACTGCTGTCCAAGACCGGACTGAGTATTTTACGTATTGCCATCAATGGGATGGTTGTATGTAGTTGTACAGCAATGTATTGTAATGAAAACTGTAATATTTTTCTAGTATTTCCTAGAGTTGCCTCTTACGAGACCCATGGGACAAAGTAGACAATGGGTTCCCTTACACCACCACCACGCGGCATTTAATTTATTTCAATGTAATAATATATTAAACTTTTAAATATTATTACGTACTTACTATGTGAAAACTACAAGCAGGCTTCTTAACCTGTAACGGTTATTGAGCAAGATGTGTCAATGCTAAAAAACTGGTTTTAAAGGAAACACCTCGTTTATATTAGGAGCCATTCGTAGTTTTAGATAGTGATCAATTCGTAATTACATTATTTTTGTTATCCTTCTCTCGTTTTTAGTTACCTACGCCGGTTTCTGTATGAAATTTATTGATGGCAAGTTTGAGATGTAAGGGTTTAGAAGGAAGTTACTCGATACCGTGTTGTTTTTAAAAATGAACTTGTCAAAGGCTGCAATCATAGGGATGACGATACAGATTACAGTAAAAATTCTTGCCACTAGTAAATATTTCGAATTGAAGATGTATTGATTTTAACACTATTAAGTTGAACAAGATGGCTGGCAGCTATATGCGTGAAGCCATAGGGTGGATGCCCCTAATACCAGCCATGCCCCTAATTCCAGTGTTTTCGCCTTTTTACTTCCTAAATAAGATTTCTATTAGTCTTAACTACAAATATTGTCACCTGAAAAATTCTTCGTAACTAGAGGAAAGTTTATTTCAAATATTACCTCACAGTTTTAAACCTTACAGTGTTAAATTAAAAATCAAAACACGTACGTGACGATAAACGCTCATTTTACAATTTCTTGACAAGTAATGATCCCGGTAAAATTATGCTTACTTTACATTATCTCATATATAAGCTTTTTGATTTGTATGAATATGACTATAGACATAGTGATGCAGTTTTTTTTGTTAAAATTTACAAGTTATTTTTTTTTAGTGGAAATTAATGGGGCTGTAATAAGATATACGAAATGTATGGAGTGCATAATGTCAGCCACCCGGCTGTTATTTGGTTTGACATACCTAATAAAAAGTACCTAATATCAGCCACGTAATATAAATCAGGGCTGTCATAAACTGGAATAAATACCATTAATTAGATTATAACTTATTTTATAGTTAAAGGAGTTATGATCATTTTCAAATTTGAAAATTAGTTTTAGATTTTAAAGTTTAGCAAAAGATGTACTAGCTTTTCTATCTGACATTCGGTGTATATTAAGGACAGCTTATGTATTCAATTATTTTTTGAGAAAGAAGAAAAAACAAGCAATAAATATAGTATATACTAGCTGTTCCCCGCGACTTCAACCGTGTGTAATTTAGGGTTTTAATTATGTTGCGCGGAACACTAATTATTTTTCTAAAATATAAGTAGCCTAAGTTACTCCTTATAACATCAGCTATCGTTCAGTGAAAATCACGTCGAAATCGGTCCAGCCGTTTCGGAGATTAGCCGGAACAAACAGACAGACGTACAAATATTAAAAAAAAATTGTGTTTTTGTTATAGGTACCGTATATACTTTCCTATACATTTAGTAAAAAGCTGTTATTTTGACATTACAAACGGAGACTTCAATTTTATTTAGTTGTATAGATAAGCAAAACTATAACTTAGTAATACTAATTACAACTTAGAACAAAAATGAAAAACTCATGACAAGTAAAGTGGTTTAGAACCAGGCTTTGCGGCAGTCTCTGGAGGAGGATGTTCCGTAGTGGACTTGTGTAATGTTATAATGACGATGATGATTTGAAAATTTGGATGATTAAATTATTAGAAATCGATATACTACATAATATTTTATCATAATTTGCTTTAATTTATTTAACTGCTTTAAACTAAAACACAGTAAGTAGTAAAACATTAAAATAAAATAATGTTGTCGTCTGCCTTAATAATATCCCATGCTTGTCACATGCAGATTCAAAACCAAAGGTTACCTACAATAGGTACTTACCAAAAACTCAAAAGGCACAACCCTATGCTATGCTGGCATAAAGTACACAAAAGGACGACATTCGGTACAGGGTGGCTGGCATTTGAGCCATAACGCCTTTTTTTGCTTATCGTCGTTTTTAAAATTGTTCTTGAAATAATAAGATTGTAAATAAATGTTCATTATATTTTTAGATAAATAACCTATCGATTAAAACAAATGTTTAAAAATATTGTGCCCTAATTAAAATAGCAGGAATTTTTAAAGTTGAAATTGGCACTAAAAGGCTGGTAATAGGGGCATCCACCTATATCAAGATGTCCGTAACTAAACTGCCACAGACTTGATAATGATAATTTGTAATTTCGTTTTAAATTTTCGACTGCAGTGCACGTGTCGCCATCTAAACATCTACACATCTATACTACATCATTTTTATCGTCATCAAGTTCAAGACCACTGTTGAATATAGACCTCTCCCAAAGAATGCCACAAAGCACGATACTATAAAACTTACGTTATTTATTTGGTTCTTTACTAACGTGAAAAATAAAATGGTATTTACTGCCGATATATTTTCAACACACTTATCTAGATATTGCACTTACGTGATCGTAGTTTTTATGGAAAGAACCCACGTGGTGTTGTCCGTCTTGATATTCTAATTGGTGACCTCCGTTATAACCGGAGTGAAAATTATCTGCATTCTGATGATCAAATGCATGGTATCCGTAATTGCCAGTATCTTGAATTTGGTTTTCATAGCCGTGTCCGTATTGTGGGCTGCCTTCATAGTTATACACTCCATAGTCTAAATATGAGAATAATAAAATCTTAAATAAAAAGTAGCCAAAGTTACTTCTTATAACATCAGCTATCTGCCAGTGAAAGCCACGTCAAAATCGGTCCAGCCATTTCGGAGATGAGACGGAACAAACAGACAGACAGAAAGACAGACAGACATACAGACAAATTGTTTTTTGTTAAAAGTATCGTATATACTTGCATAATGCATTTAGTTAAAAGCTGTTATTTTGACATTACGAACAGACACTTAAATTTTATTTAATTGTATACATGTACCTAAGTTCACACAAACATTTATCAAATAATTATAAACATAGGTACAATGATGCGTTGGCTATTCCGATTTTAAGCAAGAGTTTGTATGGCCTACAAATGATTGTTCCGGTTCTAGATGTTTGTACATGTGTAACTGACGTGATATAGATGAGATGACGCTGCATCATATTATGGTTGCAACTCGAATAAATCGGCTCAGCAGGGGAGGGACCAGACTTGCACAGACGCCACCATGAAACAACACCATACCATTAGCGTTTTGATTTTTAGTCGAGTATTGGGAAGGGTTCTATGGGCACCAGCATCCACTTACCATTAGGTGGACTGTGTGTTTGTTCACTCCTAATTTTATTTAAAAAAAAATGTATGTAAAACGCATCTACGATGCAGGCAAAAATTCTTAGTGTGGACAACATTTTGAAAATTGGTGAGTGTAGGTAACCGGAATCTTTTTTACTGGATACGAGGCATTCCATTTTAGGTCTCAGGTGTAACAACGCATCTGTATATTGATTCTTAATTGTGGGTAAACGCAGATGTCTACGTGCCACAGTATCCACTTACTAAATAATATTTTTTGTGATAACTATATTGTTTTTTTTTTAATTTCATGTAATATTATTTACATTTATAACCCGAGTAGTGGCGATGTTATAGTATTTATCACTACATTGCGTCCCACAGGTGTCGTAATAGTCTTATGGTATGCGATTGATGTTAATATGATCGGCTATGGAAACGAACTTTAAAGATGCGATACGTCTGATCATGGAACTTCGTTTATTGTCAGTGGCCTATTTCAAGCGGTGGATACTACGATTCATGATATTAATATGACAGTTTTAGCTTACCAGTATGTGGTAGATGGTCTCTGCTATAGCTTGAGCTCGATACGTGATTATCCGCCTCCTGTGATTCAGAACAATTAATTACGGTAATGTAAAAACCAAGCTCCAATAACTCTTATTATTCCTTACTGACGATCACTTAATTATCAATAAGAACCGACTATGTTAAGTTTGAGCATACATTAATTTTCCAGTTTCGGTATTGTGAAAAGAACATTTACAAAGATAGTCAATTAAATCTAACACTCGTATAATCTTCTAGGGGATGAATATTTAATTAGAAGAATTTATATTCAATTTAGGCGGAGATTTTTCTTTCGATATAATTACGTCCAATTAGTGCGTCGTTTTTCGGATACGCTTTGCTGCTTGGATACGATCGTTCAAGAACTTTTTCACACGCTCTACTATCTTAACCTGTAGAAAGATATCTGTATTTTTAAGACGCCATGACTTTTTCCTAAGTCCCTGCTAAATATTTGTGTTCGGTTTTTGTAGGAATGACAATAATTAATATCTAGCCTATCTCACTTCTGGGAGGGTTTTAGGGCAAGGAAGTACCCGTCGCGCTGCCCCATTGCGTATTGGCTCTCAGACATGAAGGTTTCCTCACGATGTTTTGCTTTACCAACGAGCAAGTTGTAACCCTCTCAGAAATGAGAGGAGTCCTGTGTTCAGCAGTGGGACGAGTAAAGCTCAAAATAATAGAACTCTGGTATAAAGGCTGTAACTTCTATCTCAGTTGAAGCCACAAGTGAGTTTACATTTGTGAAATTGTGCCTAAATCTAGTGTGCGCAGGAGTTACATGATTTATCTACATTTTGTCCTCTTTGTCTTACCATAGAGTGTTAGGGGTAAGGGCCATGCAGTAGCATATTGTGACTCCATTAGGTTGGCTCGATAAGGAAATGACGACGCTCGCACGGAATACCAATATAAAATAGTAGCATTTTGATGCTATATTTCGTACGTTGATCAACGAGAACTGAACATCCTTTTTATTGGTGACAAGGCAGCCCATTTTAATCCACAGGCGTGACAATGTGATGATTTCTTATATTTACGCGAAAACTATACATGGAATCAAACTAATTTTACAGATTTTATCGCGTTTAATTTTAACTTTTGTAATCCCTACGTTTTGCGCATTTTACAGCATCTATGATCACGGGGTCTTTGACTGTGGTGTTTGATGTCTTGATGTCATAGTTAACAAAGTTTACCTTCAAATTTTAATTACCGTTCTACGCAGAACGAGTTACAGTATCTTGAAGTTTTGCAGTGGTATGTTTAGTTTTTTAGAATAGAAAATTAGAATGTATTTTAATTTAAATAGCCTCACGAATCACCCTTGATGGAGGAATCGGTGTTCTTTTGAGAGGATTAAATCCACAATCACATTTAATAGATCCACACACGCAGAAATCCACAATCACATCAGATTTAATAGACAACAAATTTTGTGGTCTATTAAATCTGCTGTAATGGATGGATGAACAAGTTGACATGCTGCAAACTTTCCGGAGTGTTGGAGTTTCACATCAGCGATATGTTCTTTTACGCAACTTTTTTTATGGATCTGAGTATAGATGTAAATGTCTAATGGCCACAGCGTTCATTTAAAATCGGTTACTCCTTGTGTTAATTTATCATATATACTTCTTCTACTAATAAAAATAGAACTACCATGTGTTCGGACCAAACGGTTTGATTTATTGTGGTTTGAAGTGCCCATAAGTGTTTGTCAGTGCACTTTATGTTTAAGGCCTAAATCACCACCTAGCATTAGATGGGATTGTAGTCAAACACTTTTTTAAAGGATAGCTCATAGACATCTACATCTATCCTCAATAAAGGATCAAAATGTAGATGCGTTGTCACCCGTGAGGACTAAAATGGAATGCCTCTTTTCCAGTAAAAAAGGGTCTCCTGTTCTCTATACCAGTTCACCATACGAAACACAACAGTGTTAAGATGTTATTTTACGCTGGTATTCTGTGAGAGCATGATCCTTCACCAGTCGAGCCGACCCATTCGTGCTATAACTATACTACTAATATAGCTGCAGCATGGCTCAACCACGTAAAAACTGGCTATTTGTATAGAAAAATATAAGTTGTCTTAAAGTCGAAGTTGTCTTAAACGAGAAGAGAACGAGAAAGTTCCTTATGGTATATAAACTACCAAAAGGAGTTATTATGCAGATTAGACGTAAGATAGGATCCGTAAAGCAATAATACCAACAAAGTTTAACGTAGTGGTTAAAGTATATTAAATATTTATGGTTATCTATAGGTCTCTTCATCTAAAGATGTTTGTCAGTTGCTGATACCTAAGTTAAAGGAATATGCCGTAATCACTATGTTGGGACCGTTATAAAAGGTCGCATTAACCTGGAGGCATTGTGCCTAGGAACATATTTCCCATCAAAGTCTGGTTATATTAGTTCTAATATATTTTAATATTCGAAGTAACTAATATTGCTTCACGGATCAGTAGGTTAAAGTGGCAATGGGTTGATTCTCGGGTGGCAGCCTTGCGCTAAGAATAGCAGCGTTTGATGAGGTAATGACCTGGCAAGACCTGCATAGAATCAAAGTCTGTAGGCAGCTTAGAACCGTGCTTTGTGGGCAATCTTTGGGAGAAGCCCATGCTCACTGACTGTCATGATAATGCTGTTGTATTTATTCAGATGGCGACTTTTATACCTAATTCCTTAACCGTCATGCAATCAATAAAATACTAGGCTATTCTACTTCGACACGCCACAAAAATAGAAAGTGGATGTGTCAGGCGTACAGATTTTTTTTTTATCCTAACGCATTATTCATTATTACTAAGAAACAATCTGATTTCTGACTAAGAGTGGTAGAGGTCGTCACGGGAAAATGTTTTAAGGAATGCGTTTGTAGTGCCTACTTTTAAATTAAAAGATCATTTTAGTGTTTGGAATCAAAATAGATAGAAGTAATCAAAGCATGGTTTTGAAAGTTAATTAATGTACCTATTTATCAAAAACGTGTGTTTTTTGAGTACATAATTGTTATTTGCAATTTATAAATTAAGAACAGTAATGCACTAAAAATATTGAAATATAGTTTGGAATATAAAAAAATTACAATAATAAATTATAACAGTTTGTTTCTTCGTTATAATTAGTTACTTAAATTTATAAAAATAATAAATTCGTTTATTATAATTATTATAGAAAGAATTTTAAGAAACTAATATCATTTATTTTTAAGTAAGTGATAACATTTTAATAAAATTTGTGTTGCCATGACTTTTCCTGAATTTGTTTTGTTAGTTTTTTATCAATAAAATATTATTTTAAATAAAAATTTTGTCGTTATAAAATAAAATAAAAATTCTACTTCGAAACGAAGTTTTGCAATAATGTTTAGACTGTGGAAAAAAATACGCAGTTTCATGTATCGGTTGTCCATTGACTCATATTTCCGCTTCGACAATTTTATCAGGAATGTGGGGCATGCGACTGATATTCTCACCAGTAGCCTCGGTTTGTATTTCTGCATTTCAAATACGTTGAACTGTAACATGTATAATTTGCTGTCGCTTTTAAATTATCTTGATTAAGCCTACGCTTTATGTAACGGGTTTGTCGTAAGTTCCCGTGATTTGCATAACTAATTATCCCTTTTAAAGTGTTTGGTGAATATTCGACAGTTTAATTACACTTTGGTAAACATTGAGTTTTGGTAAACCTTGAGATTCGTTTTGATAAGAATTTGAATAGAGTATAAATAAAAATTAAGATTTTATTTTAGATTTTCTTTTTCGTTAACCTCTAACAAATAAATAAAATTGAAGTGTCTGTTTGTAAAGTTAAAATAACAGTTTTTTACTAAATGCGTATGAACGTGTATACTATACTTATAAATAAAACTTATAAAAAATCAATTTTTAAAAATTTTGTATCTGTGTGTCTGTCTGTTTGTTCCGGCTAATCTCCGAAGTGGATGGATGGCTGGAACCGATTTTGACGGGTCTTTCATTGGCAGATAGCTGATGTTATAAGGAGTATAAGCAAGTATTATTTATTCTGTGGTATAAGTTACTTATTATTCTGTGGTATAAGTTAATCATTTTAGAAAAAGAAATAGGGTTCCGCGTAAAAAAATTAAAACCCATGAAATCCAATCATAATAATTTCGACGCGGACGAAGTCGCATAGAACAGCTAGTTACAATATAAAACTGGAATACGTATTTTTGTTGGTGTATTCATTTTAGGAAAAAATACTCTGATAGATATTTTTAACACGCTCTTCTTAAATGATAAGTAGGTGTGTATGAATGTAATCTTTATGTATAAAATTGCGGTGTATGTGTGTGTGTGTGTGTGTGTGTGTGTGTGCGCGTGTGCGTGTGCGTGTGCGTGTGCGTGTGCGTGTGCGTGTGCGTGTGCGTGTGCGTGTGCGTGTGCGTGTGCGTGTGCGTGTTCGTGTGCGTGTGCGTGTGCGTGTTGCTGTGCGTGTGCGTGTGCGTGTGCGTGTGCGTGCGCGTGCGCGTGCGCGTGCGCGCGCGCGTGTGTGTGTGTGTGTGTATGTATGTGTGTGTTCGTAATTCTTCTTTTATGGAATATTTATGGCGTCACCTGGATAGTTCTTGGGTAAGTTGGACCCGCCAAGTGGAGCTGTTGTCGAGATCCAGAAACCACACGTGCGAAGCCGGGGCAGATCGCTAGCGGAGTTTTATAACTCTGCTTTCGCCCAATTCCGAACGTTTGAATTATTTGAAATTTTCAAGACGTATGATCATGACATAGTATTGTTCGTTGCTAGAATGATCAATGCGTGTTTTAAAGTTAAAATTTAGTAGTTTTATTAAATAATAGTACAAAGTCAAAATTGTAATAGTAGTTCTATTATATTATTTATATTAAATCTCATTTGTAACCAGTAAAGATAATTTTAGAATCCTCTTGTTTCCAGTTTAAAATATACTAATTAAGTTTTGCGCAGTAAAAAGCTAAGCTTTGTAGGTGGTAGAGCCATGCTGCAGCTATATTAGTAGTATAGTTGTAGCACGAATGGATCG